ACTCGAAGCCAGACCTTTGCAGTGACTAGCCGTCTACTCACAGTTCTTCCACATTGTATGCCAGCTAAACATAGTACTGGCATTAATATGACTATTACATATTATTCCCTCCTCATACAGCCTTAATGTTCGCCCCTTCCATAATCTCATATGCCCTACAAGACGGAATAACTTAAATACGAGGATTTCATGGAGAGCGCTGCAGCAAAATCAGGTCATTTTTCTCGCCAAGATAGCTACCGAATAGGTTTAAAAGATCTAAACAAGAATTTCATATTGTCCTACCATCATGATCGGCCCTATCTTCTATGCAAACAAGCAAAAATGCGAGATTAGCTAGAATCCAAAGAAATGTATTCTTGCCGCATACGTATTTGGAAATGGAATTATTTTCAAGCCCAGTGGTTTACTGAACAAGATTAAATTTATTCAACAATAATGGTTAAATTCTAAACATTAATAGCGATTTCATGATCCTGATAGCATACTTACATAACGAATTGCTAGTATTTCATTTATTTGATGATACTATTAGCGTTTAAGGTGCGAGGTTAAAATATACTAATTGTAATTGGATACACTAAATTTGATTAAATATTTTGATAAGCGGAGTCTAGCATGCAGAACAATATGTGGAAAGTTTGAAAACGTGCCAAAAGCTAATGTCTTGACTTCGATCTTTCATAAGAGGGTTTGACAATGTGGGTAATTAAGCCATAAGTAATCTTCATTGGCTCCTCTCCAGACCATGTCTACTCGCATATTTAGTATATAAACAAATCTAAGCTAAAGTTTTTCGTTAATAAGTATGGTTTCAAGACTAAGCCTACCGAAGGGCTTAAGGCATCATTTGACACTACTATGTTCATACTACTGCTGTTCTCACAATAACCAAGTTTAAGATAAATCAAGAAAAAAAGATGCGGATTGTTTTGAGATACAGCAGGCTTAAACGGAAAAGAGTCAACAGTTTTGATGCTTTACTAAATTATGCCATGTCGACATCAGCAGAGGAAGAACAAGATGAAATGCGACTATGAGAAGACAAGAGAGACGATAAGATTTCGCAAATAAGTTGGGGAAAACGTTACACCGGAAAGCTACGTTAAAACTTTGAATATATATAAAGAGTTGATATATATTAGCAGATATTTGTAGATATGAGGATGGAATGATAGAGCAATGCACTAATTTGAATGATCGTAATGCAATCTTGTCAATGCTCACAAATCATCCAGGCATTGAAATTCTCTTAAATATAGTAGACTAACTTGACCTATCCTAGCCTG